AACTAATGTTTCAGTAAAGCACTTATCTGAAACTCCATACTTACTCTTCAAGTTTAGGAGTTGCACAACTGCAGACAACTTTGTGAAGTTACGACACCCTTTGTATAGTGGTTTCTCAGCATCTTCAATTAGTTTTTTAAATTTGACATGATCTCCTATGAAAGTTTCTTCTGTGGCTTTAACCATGTCTACTGTATCTTCAGCATCCGTTGGAATTCCTATTGTGAAGCTCATGGATTCATCGACATATGTTGTGTTCATTGAGTAGTTGTCATTAAACGAAACATTTCTTGGTTGGTCCTCTTCTTCTCCATGCTTAATCCATTTTGTATAGTTTTGATCAATTCCATATCTGAATAAGTGATGATCTACTTCTGACACATGAAGACTTATGTGGTTTACACAATTAATACACGGACATGGAATTTTTATTTTTATTTTGGAATCTAGTGGGTCCATATTCATCGAGATCTTCAAATTGCGGACTGCATAATCCAAAAATGTTGCAACTCCATCGATGTAAGGCTTTTTGTGTCTATCAGTTCCCATCCAAGACTTGTCCATCTTTTTGTAAGGATCTGTTGTAAAAGATATTCATCCCAACATGTAAAATTTGATACGACATTGAACATTCAGTATGGTATGAAAAGTAAAATCACTACAAATTGGACTACATTAAAATAGGAGCAATTTGTTCGATAATTTAAAAAAATATGGGTCAATATTAGTCTAGTGTTCCTCCCCTGTTCGTTATTTTGTCCACTATGAAGTTTCCATTCTTCAAGTAAAATGATATCACAGAAACAAACTTAACATAAAAGATTACTATTACTGTTTTCATGAAGTGCATCATCCTAGAAACCATTATGATAATTATTCAGCCAAATAAATATTGTAAACCGTGTTTCTACAGAAAATTACTAAGAATAATAACTAAATTGAACTGTGGTGGATTATGAACTGTGAATTGATCAAAGAGGTCACCTGGATGTTTCACAGAAATGAGATCAAAGGAAGAAATTCAATTACCTGCACAGACACTGCTCTTTGGATGTTTCTTGACCAACTTTGTGATGTTGGACGAGATTACCCCAGGCTCCTAATCACTTCCAACATTGCTAAGAATTTTGTTTTGCAAGTGCGAAGTGGTCATGTATCATAACTGAAATAAACAAATTAAAAAAAAATCATCAAACACCTTATGTGCATAGGATTTAACATGGTAAACTTCTTCAATCGCCCAGTTCTTGAATAATAACACTTTAAAACAGTACAAAACTTGGATCAAATTAAAACCATTGATTGACATTTATACAAATTGAAGGAATCGTGTGACAACGTTTCTAATTAAAATTTGATATCAATAAAGTGAGGTCACGGGAAGAATTCAATTACCTAAAAACCCATCGCTTCTTAGATGTTTCTTGACCAACTCTGAGGGGTAGGCTGTTTATTTGCGATCAGTAACTTGCTGGAAGGTAACTAGGTAACGTCAAAGGCAGAAGGAAATATTGAAATGTAAAAATTGGTATTAGTCGATTAAGTCCAAAAGCAATTTTATTATTTATCCCAATTTACATATATGAAACCCATTACGTTTTTACTGGGCCTCAATATCAACTGAATTATTTATTTACATATATCAAATCCTTTATTGATTTTCACATTTTTGGACGCTATTGCGCTGCACAGTGTTTTTATGGTAGTTATAGTCAATATCGGACCTTTCAAACTGTTTTTATAGCAAAAAAATTAAGGATTTTCACATTTTTTGTACCATATTGCCCCTGAGCAGTTTTGGTATAATAAAAAAAAATCAATTTTTACATTTTGGTTCAAACTGGATCCTGCACACTTTATAACAAAAAATTATGGATTTCATAATTTTAGACCATATTGCCCCTGTAGTGTTTTTATAATAAAACAAGTTCAATTTTTAAAGTTTTGGTTATTGTCGGATTCTACAAACTGTTTTTATAGCAAAAAATTATGGATTTTCACAATTTTGGACCGTATCGCCCCTGCAGTGTTTTTATAATAAATTTTTTTTAGTTTTTCTAGTTTTGGTTAATACCGGAACCTGCAAACTTTTTTTATTGCAAAAAATTATGGATTTTCACATTTTTTGACCATATTGCCCCTGCAGAGTTTTTATAATAAAAATTTAATTTTTACAGTTTTGGTTAATACCGGAACCTACAAACTGTTTTTATAGCAAAAAAAATATGGATTTTCACAATTTTGGACCATATTGCCCCTGCAGTGTTTTTATAATAAAAAAAATTAATTTTTACAGTTTTTGTTAATACCAGAACCTGCAAACTGTTTTATAGCAAAAAATTATGGATTTTCACAATTTTGGACCATATTGCCCCTGCAGAGTTTTTATAATGAAAAAATTTAATTTTTACAGTTTTGGTTAATACCGGAACCTGCAAACTGTTTTTATAGCAAAAAATTATGGATTTTTACAATTTTGGACCATATTGCCCCTGCAGAGTTTTTTAAAATGGAATGATCAAATGGGATGCAAGGTATATTCCTGATTTACTACTGGGTTAAATGCAAAAGTAACACTATACTTTCTTTTTATTTATTTCTTGTATTTTAGCATTATACTTTAATTCTTTCTCTTTTATCTATGTTTCTCACATAAGTTCATGCTATAAACACTAAAATGGATTTACTTGCAAAATCTATTGGTTAAACATCATTTGGAACCAATGTTTACTATAATCTCGATCTCTCATATGTGTATTTATCTCTCCCTATAACAACCCTCTCGATTCTAACATCCAAATTCCAGACCCAAATCTATAGGAACGTCTTAATCCATAAGTTCATGAACTTGGAGCCTTTGCATGGGTCAAAAGAACCCAAACCTTACTTTAGCATGATACTTTCACCAAATGGACCTAGACACTTGCATAGTTAATCCACAATCATCAATATACTAACTTTATGAACTAGGGACCTCAGTAACATCAACAAAAACAACTCCTAACCCCTGGAGTGGAAGAAAACCACTAGATCACATCATAAGACTAAGAAGGGACAAAAACTCTGTGGCCAAGTCAGGACAAATCAATCGTGATTCAAAGCAACACCACGTGTGGGCCTTATACCATACCAACGTTAGATTCGACCAAAATTGAAATTTAGTTTGGTTTACGACTAAACGATCAGAATTCATATTTATTATATATTAGGAATGAACATTATTTGGACCCACCGAACCGACCCTATACCATACCGACATCAGATTCGACCAAGATTTTAATCCATGGTTCAGTTCCCAATTCTTCACTTCTCATTCGACCGGTTCGAGACGAATGAATGTATAAATAAACAAGTTTTAAAATTAAAAAATATTACTTTTTTTGAAGTATAGCTTCATGTTTGCAGCGGAGGATCGGTGTGTGAAAGTTGATCTTGAATCTTCATTAGGGAAGTTCCCGTTCAAAAAAAAAATTACATGATTTTTTGTCAAATTAATAAATTATATTTATAATGATGTATACTAGGAGTTTAATAAGCAAAAGATATCAATTGCAATTTCTATGGACTAACTTGAAATTTTTAATTACTTAAGGGAGTGAAGTATATATTGTACAATAATAATAATAATAAGAATAATAAATAATCAGCCAACATATTTTTTGGATATCCCGCCATGGAAATTTTATAGCCCGCCACAAATTTTGAGATACAGTCAAAACCCCACAATACATTTTCACTCCTTAATTACCCCTCCCATTCTAATTCACCACAGCAACCGACGATTTGACCACCATACTGTTACATCAAACCCTTCTCTTGTGATTTAACCGACGACTCTACCTCATCGTCCCGACTACCACTCCGATTGCTCACACCCTTATCCTTTTCTGGATTTTCGTTATCCCCTACCCCATCTCAATCGATCGCCAAAATCATTGCTAGGGTACTCGTTTAGATGACTCCACATCTTTATTGGTTCTCTGTTTGCCACTGATAAACGTTTTCTACTGTTGCAATTTGTAAGTTTTATAATTTGGTTTTTGATTTGATTTTATTTCGTTTAATTATTATACCTTTGATGAAATGGGTTATCGACTTTTGACAATTTTACTATAGAGGTGTATTTAAGGTTTTTCATTACAGAATAATTGCTGCAAAATTGAACCTGTAGTTGCTGTTAGTCATATTTGCAAAACAATCAAGTATCGTTGCTCAATATATCATTGGTAATAAACAGTTATTACAACCCATATATCTAGTAAACTGTTTTTACAGCAAAAAATTATGACCATATTGCCACTGCAGTATTTTTATAATAAAAAATTTAATTTTTACAGTTGTGGTTAATATCGGAACCTGCAAACTGTTTTTATTCCAAAAAATTATGGAATTTCACAATTTTGGACCATATTGCCCCTGCAGTGTTTTTATAATAAAAAAAATTAATTTTTACAGTTTTGGTTAATACCGGATCGTCCTGGAAACTGTTTTTACAGCAAAAAATTATGACCATATTGCCCCTACAGTATTTTTATAATAAAAAAATTTAATTTTTACAGTTTTGGTTAATACCGGAACCTGCAAACTGTTTTTATTGCAAAATATTATGGAATTTCACAATTTTGGACCATATTGCCCCTGCAGTGTTTTTATAAAAAAAAAATTTAATTTTTTACAGTTTTGGTTAATACCGGATCCTGGAAACTATTTTTACAGCAAAAAATTATGACCATATTGCCCCTGTAGTATTTTTATAATAAAAAAATTTAATTTTTACAGTTTTGGTTAATACTGGAACGTGCAATATGTTTTTATTGCAAAATATTATGGGATTTCACAATTTTGGACCATATTGCACCTGCAGTGTGCTTGTTGCACACCAATTGTTTGATGAAAAGCCTAAATCAAAAATTTATATTAAATATCATTGTATGGTGTCTTATTCCTTAATGACATACTAATATACCTTGTATGTTATTTTTCATGTTTAATTAAGCATTATGGAAGGAGAAAACACATTGATTGAAGATGTACCTATATTGGAAATGGAGGAGGAGGACCAATATGATGGATCTGATCTAGATGATTCAGAACATGAAGACAAATCTGATTACACTTCCAGTGATTCCGATAGCAACAGTGATTCCGATAGCAACACAGAGACTACAAATAAAACAAGGAAGAGGGGATTGACTCGATTGCCAAAGTTACGGACCGAACATACAAATTCTGGTGGAAGAAAAAAACGTGTAAAGTTTGATGAATTTGGAAGGTTTGCAGGGAAGTATAGATCACAACTACCTAGTTATCTGGGAGACCTAGTACGGGAAAGGGTAGGAGTTAGTGTTTTCAACTGGAAGAAGGTAACAAAAGAAGTCAAGGAAAAACTATGGGAAGAGATAACGGTAAATAATGTTTTTTTTTATATGTAGCCCATATGTTATTGTTTTTCTCCATTGCAATTTCATTCATGATTCAACGCCTAACATATTAGTGATTCGTATTTTAGCGTTTTTATGAAATTGAAGATAGTCGAAGAAAATATATAATGAATCGGCTTGGTATCCTTCTACGGAATTTTAGAAGAAAATTGTACGCAAAGTACATAAAGCCCAACTTAGGGAATACCACCAAGCTTAAAAGAATTCCTAAACGGTATCGTACAATAATCCTTAGCCAAGATCATTGGGACAAGTTCGTTGAACACACACAGTCTGAACAATTCAAGGTTAAATTCCTTTTTTTTCATTATCACTTTTATTTTATAGTTTCTTAAAATAAAAAATACTTATAAGATCCGTGAATTTATTTTTTGGAAGGATATGTCGACAAAGACGATAGAAGCGCGTTCTAAGTCGAATTATAATCACCGGATGGGACGGGGAGGATATACGGGTTTAAGAGAGAAATTGGTAAGTTCTATATTTTACTCAATTATGTATGTCTCATGTGTTTGTTAGTTAAAATTGTGAAAGTGGAACTACCAATTAGAGCATTATACTTTCAAGTTTTGAAGTACATTCTTTACTAAAAACTGAATTTAATATGCCACCACTGTTGGAGTAATTAAAAACTGGGATAATTTTAATGCCAGGGGTATTTTGGGAAAAGTTTCATTATTTTAAGTCTTGCTATTTGTTTAAGTTTTGTTTTTCCATTGGATGTATTTAACTATGTTTCTTTCATGTTTAGTATAAATAGGAGTAATATATATATATATATATATATATATATATATATATATATCGTGACTTTTACGAGTTGACAACTATGATTACTAGGTAAATAATAAAGTACTTGCCAAAGATGAAATACCACCCCGGTCATTAATGTGGTGTAAAGGACGTGAAAACAAAGCAGGCGAAATAGAAGATGCTAATGTAAAACTCATGGCAGAAAAACTAGTAAGTTATTGAAACTTTCTCCTTGGTTATTTGATTACTATAACAAATGTGACTTGTTAAATAAATATTGACGATGTTATTTTGATATCTTTTTGTGTACAGGTGGAACATGAAAAACAAATTAAAGATGGAGATGTGAAGCTTGATCCTGGGATAGATGCCATGTCATTAGTCTTTGGCAAGGATAATGGTGGATTCTTAAAAGGGGTTGGCACAGGTGTGACTGCTAGTAGATATTTCAATATTCCTAGAACCAAAGGATCTTCAAAAGAACAAATTGCGGACCTAAAGTTTGAACTACAGAATGAGAGACTTGAGCTCCAGAAAAAAGATGAAGAACTTAAAGCGTTGTCAACAAAGGTGAGAGAACAAGATAAAACACTAAAGCTAGTTTTAGCTCATCTTGAATCACAAGGAACAATGATACCAAATCTAACATCTCATCCGAATCAGTCTCCAACACAAGTAAGTGAATTGTTATTGTTTTTGCAAAATGCATTTATTTCATAAATTGACCCTTTTCCTTCAATTTTGTAGGTCTTTTCAGTGGACAAGAATGTTGAATCTCATGGTACTCCTGTTACTAATACTATCATAGAGAAAACACCTATCACAGATAAAGCATTGACAAATGAACCAGTTACACGAGTAAGTAATTGTTTGATAAGTTCATTGATTTTAATATTTTTTGTAGTACTTTGTAAGTAATTATTTGAAAAATTCATTGATTTTAATATTTTTTGTAGTATTTTCTGATTTCCATATATTATTGAATTATTGTTTTCTAGGTAATAACAAAAACCGGCAAAATAATGTTGAATCTAAGAGTGTGACTACAAATTCACATCCAAAAACAAAAGATACTCATTCACCAAAACTCCCACAGGTATGTATTTTAAAATGAAAATATAAATATGTGTTTATTCTTTTTTATCTAAATATGTGCAATCATTGTAGACAATGAAGACGACGAAGTGCATTCTACAATATCCAGATAATAGAAGCAACGTTGCTTATGGTACAGTTTACATTTCTTCAGAAAGACAAGCCATTCATGGAGTTCCACTTCAAGACGACTGCTATAAAGTATCAATTGATGAAGTGATAAAGGGAGCTGCATTTTTACCATATCAAAACGGTGATATCAAAACAGTTGAGGAGGCACATAAAACTTTTGTTGCATGGCCCAAATACCTTGTCAAATGTGACAAAAAGGTTTGTTTCTTCTATTAACTACATTATGCATTAAACTTTTTTCTTTTGGAAATTAGTTTTTTAAATTATTAGTTATTCAAGTTTGGTTCAATGTTGCTACAGATACCACGAATGAGATCAACTCAAGATGATGAATGTAAAAGCTCCAAGAAGCAAAAAAAAAGTTTTATAACAAGAGAGAGCCTTGGCAAGCATACAAGGAGCACTTTCAACAAGACTAAACAAATCTAGTTTTTGGTTTATGCCTTTTTTCCTTTCTTTAGCATATTTAAGTAAACTTGTTTTGATTACAAGAATTTTTACCTTTTAACTAGGGAAATTATATATGAGAATTTTCATTTGAATTATTATTAATATTGATCTTTTTTTTATCGTTTCGCATTGTCCATTTATGGTTACATTTATTTAACATTGTTTTTTATTCCATGTGTCTGTAATTATTTTACCATCATGTTTTATTATATTTTATCACTAAAATGTATACAATTGTTACTTTACAAAAAAAATGTGTCGTGTGACTAAAGGGTTAACAATAGTCATGATAGAAACTCAATATGTGTCCACAAGTGTTTTATAGTCACTTTTAATTAAACATGTGTGACTAAAAGTAAAAGAAATACAACATTGAAAATTTTTGTGTCTCGGAAAAGATACACATGTCACTCTATTTAATAATCATGTGACTATAAGTAATATCACAATAGGGTAAATGTAGTCATGGTAAATGAATTTGAGTGTCGATACAACACTAATGGTTACGATTGTCTTGATTCACGATATCTAAATTATGATCAATAGCCACACTGAAAACTATAGGTGTGTCTAAAGGATAACAAATGTTATGGTTATGAAAAAATTGTGTGGCTAAACACTAAACAATAAGGACAATAAACATTAGTTGTGTATCTACAATGATTTTATAGTCATGCTTCAATTTAGTATACATGACTAAAAACTAAATAGTATTGTCAATGTAGATATATGTGTGTCAAAATCTTAACATATGTCACTTATTTCTACATTCATGTGGCTGTATGTTCTATAATAGTCATAGTTATAAAAACATTATGTAACTATACGACATTTGCAACTATGGTTTAAGTATGTATATGTGACTATAATAAAAACAATCGTCACACTCTGAAAATTTTTAATGTCTAAATGATAAAACCGGTCATACTTCAAACAAATTGTTATGTTCATAAGATGAATATTAGCCACTGTTATATATACTTTTGTGTCTATAAATCAATTACAGTCATGTTTAATTGATTTTCTATGTAGAAAAGATATAAAATAGCCACACTACAACTTTTTATATGTTTGAATCATAGCAATGGTCATGATAAATTATACATATGTGGCTGAAAGTTATTGATGAACATAGTTAAAAAATAGTATGTGTCTTTAAAATACTTTTGGTCATTGAAATTATAAATTTATGTGACCATTTTGGGAACATGGTCATGATTTATTTTATTATGAGCGTGTCTAAAAGATTGTTAATAGTCATATTTTTTTTTTGTGTGTGACAAATTATTAGCAAAACGTCATAGTGCAAATAAATTCATATTGCCATTTGTTGAATATGGTCATGTTTCGCTTAATTTTGTGTCTCTAAATGATAGTCAATAGTCATAATGAACATTATTTTGTGTGACGAATTATTATCAATACGCCACAGTGAAAAAAAACTTCATGTGACCATTCCATGAAAGATCGTCACTAAAATAACTAGAAGGTGTGTCTATAAAGGGTTTATAGTCACAATATTGGATAAAATGATAGATTACAACAACAAAAAACTTCACCCTATAGCAACACTTTTATGCTATGGTCATAGTTTTTCATATGATATAGCCACTAAACTTAAAAGTGGTCGTATGGTGTCTAAAATGGCACGGCCTTCGGTGACACTTTCAATGAAAAAAAAAAGTGTGACTATAGGCATATGGTCACAATTTTTTGGTGTGACCATAACTCATTTTTGTACTAGTGTCATAACATCATCCTATATATCAGGATATTGACCTAACAGGTCACTAACATAACATCATCTTATATACCAGGATACCGACCTAACAGGTCACCTCACAATTCAATAACTTCCCAAATTACCAAAATACCCTCGGAAGTCAAACCAGTCAATCCTTGGTCAAAGTCAAAGTCAATGGTCAAGGTCAACAGTCCAAGTTGACCTAACTCGTCGAGTGTAACTTATAGATTCGTTGAGTTCCTTCAGAACTCAAAAAGTTGCGAAATCCACAGTCAACTCACCAAGTTATTAAGTAACCCGTCGAGTCCATGCATTATCCAGATTATCAGGAAAAACCCCAACCAACTCGTTGAGTCATGTCGTTAACTCGATGAGTTCATGCTGAATCTAGAAAGCGGGAAACCCTCAACCAGCTCGTCGAGTTCCTTCAGTCTTTTACACATTCAGACACTTTAAGCAAAACCAAGGCTCTAAACTATAGATCTAGGCTCCTACGGTGTTGTTATCACGTAAAGTTGCTAACTTTACGTGCATGCAAGGCTTCAAGAAGCTAAAACACTCAAAACTAGCCTTAGGAAGAGGTTTAGGACATGGAAAAGGGCTAGGGCTAGATAAAGTCGAGAACTTTATGTTCATGAGGACCTAGAGGAGTCCAGATCTGAGACCATGTTCTCATGACAAGCTCAAACCCGAGAGTGACCCCTTTTGCACAAAAAATGCTGATATAGTATCATAAGAAGAGATCTAAGAAATAGAAAGCCAAGGTAAAGACTTTTTACCTTCAACTAGATGCCAACACGATGTAGATATTAGATCTACAAGCTTCTTCTCGTTCCAAGCCTCTTCAAGAAATACACCAAACACACACTTTTAGCCTCACACACACACACTCAAAATAGGGTTAGATTGATTAGGGTTTGCTTCTGGATGTGAAAAAGTGTCAAGGGTCTGTTGGATTAGTGTCTAAGTTCATAACTATTTTGGTTTGTACTTGACCCGATGGTGCATGGTCCTTTTGGGTTGCCTTCACCAAAGCAACTTGATAGGATGAATTATAGAGAGAGAGGATTAATTATGATTTATTAATATATTATGAGAATAATATGTTAAAGGAGAAATCATATTGGTTAATTAATTTTAGTCAATAATTAATTAAGAATTAATTTTGTGGCTAAAAGACATTAACTAAACTTAAGGGACTAGAAGTATCAATTCTATGATAGTTGAATATTGGGCTAATGGACTCGATATTAGAGGGGTGGACGAATTCTATGGGGAAACCCATTAGAAATCGTCCTAGGCCTCTAAGGAGGGAATCCATGGGTTGCTTCGGGCCTAAGTAGTCAAATTAGGGTTTCCTTGTTAGATAACCCTAATAGCCTCACTATTTAAGAATCCCTAGAGCACCAAAAACGTGGACAAGAGTTTCCTTAGGGTTTCCACATGTTTTTGGGTGCCTCCTCTCTTATCATTCTTCATCCTCTTGCTCTTGGTGTTTGTGAGCCATTAGAGAAGTGACACTTGTAACTCTAAGCTTTCTAAAGCCATTACAAGGAGGATTTGAGTTGTTATTACTGTATAACAACAAAAGGTATGTATTCTAATCTTCTTGGTGAATTTCTAAAATAGTATGACTCATTAGGGTTTTATTATGTGTTCATAATGTTGTGTAACTAATAGTGAAAACATAGATCTAATTGCTAGGGTTGCACGCACACATAGGATTGTTTGTATAAAACCCATCAGTGGTATCATAGCCAATGGTTTTTGTTTTCAATTAGCTTTTATTCAAATGTATGAACTTGACATATTTGGGTTTATGGCTAATAAACCCTGAAGGCTAGGTAATTTTCGCAATTAGGGTTGCAAAACCCTAGTTGGCGATTTTTGCTAGGGTTTCCCAAACCCTTTCCTTAGCCTCCAAGATTTTGAAATCTAGGGTTATCCAACCCTTGGATTTCGAAATTACCTCATTCCCCAAGGTTAGATCCTAAATTTTAGGGATTTGGATTATCCCATATCTTGTAATTATCCTTTAATAGTTAAATATGGTAATTAAAGATTTTAGGATATCTCATCCCTTATTTTCGAAATCTATGTAGATGTTTAAGAGATTAGGATATCTTAAATATAGAAATGGTAATTATCCTCATGATTTAGATAATCCCTTATCATTTAATAATTAAAATTAATAGTCTAATTCAAGATAATTATTAAATTAAGAGTTTTAATATTTAAAATTTTAATTTAAATGTCTTAAATTCGAAAATTTTAAGTGATATTAAAACCTAATTGTTTTGAAAAGTTTCAAAACTTGCCCTCAAGTTTTGGAATTTAAATTGTTGATTAAAAGTTAATTTTGAAAGTCTAAATTCCAAAACCCTAATTTTGAAAAGTTCAAATTAAACCCTTATGGTTTTATTAAATTAATTAAGTGTATAATTAAAGGAGAGTTAATAAATCCATAATGATTTTGGTTAATTAAAAGTATAATTTAAACCACCTAGTATTTTAAAAGTGTAAAATACACCCTTATACTATGTATAACATTAAAAGTTTAATATTATATATGTATAACTAAAATGCTAGTCTTACCGTTAGTAGGCCTCATTCACGAAGCCGAATCTATAAGGGGGGTATAAGGTTATGACCTATAAAATGGCCGTTTAATGGGTATCCACTCTTACCCACCGCTTCCTTGATTGGTGGAGGGTCGTTAGCCGAACGGGTAGGATAGGGAAAACCCTTTCCATTAAAAGTATAATGAAGTATAAAGTAACTAAAAGTTTTACAAAATTCCCAATCTTAGTTACTTTAGGCAAAAGTGAATTGATGCAATTCCATGAAATTACACTTTGTGCCCTTGCGAAGACGTTAGTGGAGCATGCCTGGTTAACTGGAACACTAAAGGGTTCTAAGCAAAGGTAGCAAAGGATGACTCGATGTTTGTCATAGCTCGGTGGAGCGTGTGTGGTTAACCAGCACATCGAATAGGTGACTGTAACATGTAGGGGCACCATGTAAGTTTGCATGGTTATTCACACCCGCTTTGTGATCCTTGGTATCCCAGTCACAAACTATAGGGGCATATCGAGATTTAAACATGCCATTGAAAATTTCAATGAATCTCAAAGGATCTAGGAGTTTTCATAGATTTAAAACTTAAATTTCTTTTTTCGTTTTTCATGGTGGAAATTGATAAATCGTCATTTACTTACCTTCAAATATTCTGCAACTAG